CAACAATTTGTGGATCACACTAAGTGTTGTTCCGTGCGGGAATCGAACCCGCGACACGTTGCACGATAGCCGGTTGCCCAGCCACCGCACCAACCGTGCAGTCAAATTCTCTGGAGCCGGTTACACAAGTTTAAAATAATAGTAGTTTATGACACTGGCTTCGGTATTTTATAGATACAAATCACAAAAAATATAGACCTACCTAATACTTTTTATTAAATGTACCCTTTTCTGTGATAAATCGTGCAAAAACTAACCTACTTTCTTAAGTAATAAATTATTGGAACACAGCCACTCGATAGCGCGGTCTAGAATTCGGAGCAAAAATTCTCCCAATATTTTACTTATACAAGGGTTAAAGAAAATAATTCTACGGCAATATTAGAGGTGATTTAATATTTTTTGTAAGGTATTTTTGTAATTTACTGCCTACCTGGCTAGACTGGAGTTTCGGTTCTGTCAAATACAATAGCTATTTAATAGGTTTATACATATATAAAAGTACTGGTACATGAGCTCTAAAATACCAGGAGGTTAGGCGTTACAAGTGCGTTACCGGCCTTTGGAGGATTAGGAATTTGAAGGTTATTGGGGGTTCATGGATTGGGGAGATCGGGAAAGGAAGGGGGATAATTGAGCCTCAGGTAACATTACTTACACGACGAAACACAACGCAAGCGTTGTTTCACGTTAGTTTTCTGTGAGACCAGACCACCTATCTGCTCTATCTTTAAATAAAATATATCATCTGCATTAACGAAAAATCGCGGGCACTCACGTGAATATACTGAGAAAAGCTCTACTAGTTGGCTGTACAGTAGGCTGCGCGACATCGCCGCGATCGCGCACGCTGCTCATGAGGAAGAACCCCTCTGTCGTTCGAAACTAGTAGAGTTTTTCTTAGTATATTCACGTGAGTAACCCTCTTAATTTAGTATGTCTCACGTATGTATGTCTCACGATAGTTACCTATTATTAAAACATCACCTACATTGAAACAAAATAAGCTAAATTCAGAAAATGTAACCTTAATGTCGGTTACAATCTTATACAAAGTCTGTATTTCAGTACACAGAAGCCAACTAACTTCAATTTGCCTAAGTGCGGGGTACGGCAGACACTAATTATCTGTCCTGTCTTGCGTTTGTCCCAGTTGGGCGCCAATAACTATTACATAGCTAGACTAGCTAGGTCGAGTACGAATACTAGTTGAGTTAATATGTTGAAAGCTGTTCTTTGTAACACTGAATAGACAATGTTGCTTTTAAAATTGTAGGTAATGAGCGAGTGTTTCTTTTAGCGGAATTGGAAGGATAGAATGTTGCTTTTAATTGGTGGATTTGGAAATTATTGGAGGAGGTTTATGACCAATGGAGGTTTATGGGCAGTGGTCGTGTTGTGGCTGTTTTTTTCAACACGTTAAACGTCATAAGGGTCACCGGTGACCGACGTTAGCGAAGGAATTACCTTTAACAGTTTTTTATTGGCAGTCAAAGGCTTAAGGGCGAAAATCATTGAATGCCTTCTCCGACCTGGGTGAGGCGGGAGGGAGTGTCAGACTCTTACTGACTAAAAACCATCCCATTCCTTCTCCTGCAATTCGAGCTGTAGCCTCAGCAACCTGTCAAGTCATCCGCAGCTCTGTATCGCCATCAGCCCTATTGGGCTCCATCCGTGGTGGTCTGATGGCTCTTTGAGGCTCGTTGTGGCTAATATTGTAATGATAATGATAGATAGATAGATTTTTTTATAGAACAGGCCGGTAAACGAGCAGACGGATCACCTAATGATAACCAATCGGCGTCGCCCCAGTGGACACCTGAAACACCAGAATCACGACCACAAGTATTCAGGAATTTTGGCTTATGCTTGTCGTTGAATGACTGAAGCAAAAATAAATGAAATATTTTTACATTACATAACATAACATAACATAAGATCACGCCTTTTATCCCCGAAGGGATAGGCAGAGGTGCACACAGAGGTAACACCCACTTTTCACTATTTATGTTATGAGTCCCATGTAATCCCGTAAGCCTATTGCCATATACCGGGCACAATTTCAGACTCCGTGCTACTACTGAGAATATTTAAAAACCCAGTAATACTTTGCCTGACCCGGGAATCGAAGGCGAGACGCCTTGCCCGGCAGTCGCACTTACGACAACTCGGCCAACGAGGCAGTCATATAAAATGTTTTTACTAATGACATATTTTAATAACTCATAAAAAGAAATTAAAGCTAGTGAATTAAAAATTACTCTTTATTTTAATTAATTCGTAGTAACGTAGTTGACTTTTATATTTCTAGAAACAAGTTAATTGCTTTTTCCAAACAACTCATAATTTCTGTGGTCCCGACATTTCCGACAAGGAAATTAAACATTCAGCATGATTGATTTCAATGGAACAAACTGACGTTATGTACTTACACTTTTCGAATAAACGTGGAATAAATGTTAGTTTCTAAATGAAGTCGTGGTGGCTCGGAGGTTTAAGACGCCTGCTTCTCAAGCATGAGGGTGCGGGTTCGAAACCTATCAACGGCAAGTACCAATGTGACTTTTTCCGAGTTATATGTGCTTTCTAAGATTATTTAGACACCACTGACAAACGGTGAAGGAAAAACATCGTGAGGAAACCTGGACTTATAATTTCTAATTATAAGTTTGAAATCGCCAACCCGCATTGAGCAAGCGTGGTGATTAATGCTCTAACCTTCTCCGTGTGAGAAGAGGCTTTGCTCAGCAGTGGGCATTTATAAGCTGTTGATAATGATGAAATGTTAATTCAAATAACTGGAAACACACATGTTGCGAGTTGTTGTATGGTCCGAAACCTGACGAGTACCAATAGCACTTTTTCCAAATGATACATAAAATCACGCTTTTATCCCCGAAAGGGTAGGCAGAGGTGAACACAGAAGTAGCACCCTTTGAAATGTGGGTGTTACATTATACAGTGGTATTAAGTGCCGTAATGTGCACCTCTGATTACCGCTTCGGGGATAAAAAGCATGATATTATGTTAATATATAATATTTTTGGTCTTGTGTAGGCGTTTGCGTTGGCCACTAGCCACTGGTGTGACTAATATTAATTCTCTCTTTATGTATTCTCACAAATCAAAGACAATTATAAGTCACATTTACAACCACTGAACCTCACTGAAGACAGTCAAATACAAATTGTTACAATATTAAACCAATTAAAACGAAGAAGTATCAAACTTTGGTCCCACGGTGGGCGCCAATAAGCGGTGCTAAGTGATTGCTTCTGAACTAAGTTGAGCCACTTTCTTTTATTATGTTTGAAGTATCTAATTGTTCTTGAACATACATTTAACATTAAAGGCTACGTCTATCAGAATGTTTAATTTGGTTCGTGTTTTCGACCTTGTAAGGTTTTTGGAAGTGCTTAGAATTGTCTTTGTTAGTAGAAGTCACTTAGACTTCTAGTATTTAGTACTTGGGTTCAAAATATCGGGTTTTTCAATAGAAAGAAATTTGTGACATTTGTTACTTTTATATTCGCCAGTATGATTATAAAGAGTATTCTAAGAATTTAAATATTTATATATGTCGCGGAGAACCTAACGGGTTACCGGGGCTCGGGCTCAACGTGCAGGAGAAAGAACGGGTGGTTTTTAGTCAGTAAGAGTCTGACACTCCCTCCTGCCTCACCCAGGCGGGAGCAGTCATTCGATGATTTTCCCCCCTTAAAAAAATATTTATACATATAAATTATATGCTTCAAACCATCTAAAGTCAAAGTCATTTATTTCAATTCTCCTATGAAAAAGAACGAGCAAGAAACTCCATAGGTTCACAATACAATTATTTATTTTGTAAACCTGATTGCGATTACCACAACCATAGAACTTGCATTAAAATGATCTTGAAATAAAATATTAATGCACTTATTTCTATCAGATCAAATAAGTACATGCAATTTTGACATTTGCCAATTTATCATACATGTATAATTTTTTACCTAATTCAGGGATGATTTTTCCGACACCAAATAAATTTTTACTAAGAAAATGCTTTGAATATTTGACAATTCTTTCGTACTAAAGACGGTCAATTATTGTCTTCAAACTTTTATTTTAGACTTAAGAATAGGGATGATGACAGGGTATGAAAATTAAAATCTAATTAGTCCTTCAGTTAGGTAATGAAAAAATATTATTCACGTATTTTTTATTTTGTCGTATAAGAAAACATACTTATACATATAAAACGAATCAAAGTTTAGGATTGGGAGGTAGCTACGTTAATCCTACTACTGTTATAAAGGCGAAAGTTTGTAAGTATGGATGTATGGATGTTTGTTACTCTTTCACGTAAAAACTACTGAATGGATTTAAATGAAACTTTACCACAATATAGCTTATACATCAGAATAACACATAGTCTACAATTTTTGAGGTTTCTAATGTGAGGTCGTGAAAAAACACATTTTTTGCGCTTACATTGCAAACGCTGACTGAATCCTACAAGATAGATCAAAACAATGTACTACAGTATTGTACAACTTAAAAAGGTCTACAAAAAAGTCCGTGATGGTATATGTTTATGCATAACCTCTATTAGGAATAACCCACAATAACCATTTTTTATCCTTTACTTTGTACGAGAAATAATGGCTTATTTACGAAGCGATTTTAAGCAATACAGTATTAATCCTTATCCAATTAAGTATCTTAAATACATTGTGCATTTAATAAAGATCAATATGGCTTTTTACAGCATGTAAATTAAATAAATATTTTCGAAGATATCACAGATTTAAAATGCAGAGTCATAGCAATTTCGGCGATAAATACCGTTTCGGTGATAAATAGCGGTGCCAGGCGAACGGGGCGTGGGGGGAGCGGGGTAGGTGCGGTGGGGAAGAAGAAGTGGCTCATCGCTGAGTGCGCGACCCGAACGCGGGCAGACGCGTGAGGGCAGACGTCGTTGACGGTTTGACTGACTGACTGACTGACATAGTGATCTATCAACGCACAGCCCAAACCGCAGGACAGATTGGGCTAAAATTTGGCATACAGATAGATGTTATGACGTAGACATCCGCTAAGAAAGGATTTTGATAATTTCCACCCCCAAGGGGGTAAAAAAGGGGATGAAAGTTTGTATGAAACTTTGTCAGTTTTTAACCGATCGGGTTGAAATTTGGCATGCAGATAGATGTTATGACGTAAGCATCCACTGTGAAAGGATTTTGATAATTTCCACCCCCAAGGGGGTAAAATAGGGGATGAAAGTTTTTATGAGACTTTGTCAGTTTTAAACCGATCGGGTTGAAATTTGGCATACAGATAGATGTTATGACGTAAGCATCCGCTTTGAAACGATTTTGATAATTTCCACCCCCAAGGGGGTAAAATAGGGGATGAAAGTTTGTATGAGACTGTCAGTTTTAAATCGATTGAAATTTGACATGAGATAGTTGTTATCACATAGGCATCCGCTAAGAAAGGATTTTGATCATTTCCAACCCTGAGGGGGTAAAATAGGGGGTGAAAGTTTATATGAAGCTTTGTCAGTTTTACACCGATGCAGATGAAATTCGGCATGCAGGTAGATGTTATGACGTAGGCATCCCCAAGTAAGGATTTTGATTATTTCCACCTCCAATGAGGTAATGTAGGGGATGAACGTTTGTATGAAGCTTTGTCATTCTTACACCGATCGGGTTGAAATTCGGCGTGCAGATGGATATTATGACGTAAACGTCCCTTTAGAAAGGTTTTTGAACATTCTCACCCCAAAGTGGGTAAAATAGGGGGTGAAAGTTTGTATGATACTTTGCCAGTTTTAAATTGATCGGGCTGAAACTTTGCATGCATAAAGTTACTATGACATAGGTATCTCTTTAGAAAGGATTTTGATAAATTCCACCCCTAAGGGAATAAAATAGGGAATGAGAGTTTGTATAAATCGTCTTAGCCATTGAATTTAGATTCATTGAATCTTTTTGAATTACATTCGGTGAACGATGATTTGGGACCTAGGTAACGTTTGATAGTTTCTATCACAGATGTCCCACGGGAACGAGAACTATGCGTCAATGCCCCAGGACTCTCTAACTCTTAACCACTGAACTTATTTTAGAGAGATTCGGTACGACAATAGTCGATAGAATAGTTTTTATTACTCAAACCTTACATGATCGGGCACTGTACTGGTAAGATCCCTGCGGGATTATTTATTTATTGAAACTACGATAAATCATTTCAAAATAGGTAAATCTTACTTGGGCACTGAATTGATTCTGATTAATTCTGTCAGAAGTCATTAATCTACGCGGACGAAGTCGCGGGCAACAGCTAGTTTAGAGTATAAATCGTACTCAAAAGTGACGTCATGCGATATTTCAAATGAATATATCTTCAAACTATTCGTTTCGTATTCATAGAAAAAACGTGTCTAATGTTTTTAAATAATCTACCAGACGGACATTAAAATAAAAATTAGTCACCACCCTAATAACTTGTGATTAAAAATCGTCCCTTAGTTCAAAATACATACATACCATTATACCCCTATTTCAGGAATCTCCTGAATTACAGGTTTACGGTTGAATATAGACATAAACCGGAGGTATAAGACCGGCGTAAATATTTACGTTACGGATCAATACGCGAAACGTGCCGGGTTCGAAACCGAGACATATAACCTGATGTCTGCTGTTGTTTCAATATATTTTTGTTTTTTTTTTTGTTATTTGTTGTTGTAGTGTGTATGAACATTGTAGTTTTGTTGCCGTAGGGGGGTAGGTAGAACTGTGGAGATGTGAAATTATTGTTTTACTTAAATTCGGAAGTAGATGATTGATTGTTTGTCCGATCAGCGAATATCTTTCTTTTTGTTTATTTTTAAAATGACATGACACACACACATTTTTTTAGGGGGAAAGACTTCCAATATTTTCTCCCGCCCGGGTGAGGCGAGAGGGAAAGTCAGACTTTTACTGACTAAAAACCACCCCGTTCCTACTCTTGCACTTAGAGCCGGAGCCCCGGCAACCCGTTAAGTCTTCAACGACTCCGTATCGGCATCAGCCCTATTGGGTCCCATCTGTGGTGGTCTGATGCCTCCTTGATGCGCGCGCGGCTTGGGTCTGGTTCTGATCGGTCGGCTATTCGCCCGTGCTCGCCGTCCACAGGCCCGTGCTTACGGTGGCCTCGTGATCGTCTCGTGATCCCCGACGCCCGGAGTGTCTCTCGCGACGGCTGGGGCGTGAGAACGTTTGTTCCGTCATGGCTGCTTCGCAGAAGAAACAGGCGGTATCCAAGTCCCCCTTGCTCCATACCATGGTCCAAAACAAAACCGAACGCGAGAGGTCGCCGTCACCGATCATATTCCTGAGGACATGGCGGTGCTCAGCCCACGCAATGCACACCGCCACCGTATCCTCCACCGTGTCCTCCGGGCGGTCCTCGCATTGATATGACATCCACACCTAGAACAACAATTTGTGGATCACACAATTATAGTTGTTCAAAATCTAAAAAGCCACTACAAGTGTTAGGTTAGGTTACATCATTAAATTCCGAGTTTCAGTTCTGAAGTAGATTTTGGATAGAATAGGAGAAATTGACTGATTTTTTTCGTTATCAGTAGATTTTGCTGCATGGAATTAAGAATTGGTCGTAATTTTACAAGACCAGTGGGTTGGTTATTTCTTCGGACGGAAAATAAGCATGGCAATTCAACGTGGCGATGCTGCCAGCCTTCTAGGAACATCTCCCTGTGACAGTAATGCGAACGAGGACTTTGACGCCTAATTAGAAAGAAAGAAAAAAGAAAAATAATTATGAGTATTTTTCGTCGTTATTTGTCGTTATTTGCTTTAGTTGTAGTTAATTCTAAGTTGTAAATATTTATGTCGTTATATCTCATTTATTTGATAAAATATATCTCTACATTGAAAAACAGACTATCAGTCAGCATACCTCTCCTTATCCCCTTAGGAAATAAAGGGTGTAAGGTTTTACTATTCCAGTACTTTTCTTGGTCTTAATCTTTTTCTCTCTAAAAGAAATCTGAAGAAAGGACACAATACATCTTTCGGGACCTGTAAAAAACTGCTTGGTTCAATGAATTTTTAACTCGCTTTGAGAATAGGACCTTTGCGTACGACGGTCGTTTTTTAGTCTTATTTTCTTTTGTGATCCAAATTAGTGCTGTCTTGGTACTATTTTATGGATACTAGGTTTTGTCTAAGCCACTTTTGTCCTTTCTGATTTTGTTAACTTTTAAATTCGACGTTTTCTCCAATTTTTTTAAGGCATAAGCCGGTTAACGAGCAGACGGATCACCTGATGGTAAGCAATCGGCGTCGCCCATGGACACCTGGAACACCAGAGGCGTTACAAGTGTGTTACCGGCCTTTTGGGATTCAGGAATTGGGGAGATTGGGGGAGGGGAGGGAAATTCGGTAACCTCACTCACACGACGAAACACAACGCAAGCGTTGCTTTACGTCGGTTTTCTGTGACGCCATGGTATCACTCCAGTCGTGCCGGCCCATTCGTGCTGAAGCATGGCTCTCCCACACTTAAATTATATTCCATTAAGACCTTTTTAAAATGATCAAACTATAACCATTTCTTTTACTGTATATGCCGGTAAACGATCAAACGGACCACCTAATCGCAAGCAATAGGTAGCGTAACCTATGGACACATAAAACACCGAAAGCATTACAAGTGTGTTGCCGGCCTTCTGTAGGTTGCAAATTTGAGGATTATTGGGGATTCAAGGATTGAGTTCGCACCAGGAATCGAACCCGCGTTTCCTTGCTGAGCAGTGGTGCTTGCGAACACTAATCCAACAAGGCAGTTCTACTTTGACCAGCTTATAATCTACGTTATAATCGTATTCTAAATATCCAAACATCATTGTATCTATAAACAATAGATGTCGCTTTGGTGCAAAACAAGAGCCGGATAAATATGGCTCAAATTCACAAGCAATTTGTTTCCATTCCTTTGGGAGTAGTGACCAATTTACCGACTAATTGTTTTGTTAACTGACCATGGTCGGCTTCGGCCATGTACTGTTGACTTTATGGCTTTGGGTGATATAAATAGATCATTCTTAATACATACATGCATAAATTCATATAAAATTATTCTTTTTTAATTATCTTCTTCCACTAAAATGTGCATGCAGGGCTTAATGCTCAAAGAGCCATCAGACCACTATAGTTAGTTCCCAGTAGGGCTGATGCCCGATATGGAGCCGCGGAAGGCCTAACGGATTGCCGGGGCTCCGGCTCGAAGAGCAGGAGTAGGAACGGGGTGGTTTTTAGTCAGTAAGAGTCTGACACTCGCTCTCGCCAACCCAAGGCGGGAGAAGACATTGGATGATTTTCCCCCCTCAAAAAAGAAAAAGTTCAATGCCGTGGGAATTTTCTACCAGTCCAATTTTTGGTGATGCAGAATCAAACCAATGGCACTAATGAAGCCTGTCTAATCATTGAATTCTTTGTCAAAGGTGCACTTGTGTATAATTTTGTTGATAGAGATTGTGTTGCCATTGGCGTAGGTCAAGTGAAACTAACTTTGTACCGATCAAAAAACTATATATAACTATAGTCTTAGAAATTGAAGATGATATATTAGATTATAGACGAGCAGACAGACGGTAAAATAACAATGTAGGACGGCATTCGTATCAAAGTAGCTATGACTGCATTATCGACTTTTTAGAGCTCTTACAGACAAGCAGCATGTTGCTAACAGTAGAAGTAGCTGCAAGCGTCGACGCGCGTTGGCGAAAACCGTCGATGCATCGGCGTCATCCGTTAACTTTTGAAGAACGCTACAACTGCAAGTGTACTGCTGCCTTCGACGCGACAACGGTTGTCGCCGACATGTGTCGATGACAGGAATTGTCCCTGTCGTTGGTAACATGCCACTCGTGTGGAAGAGCTCTTAGAAAGGATTGCGAAACTGTCTTGAAGTTTAAAGTTCGTTGGTTCAAAAATATCACATCTATCCATTTATAATCATCACAGTTTTACTCTGTAAGGTAAAAATCTAAGCGAAAAAAGCCCATACATGATACCGAAGGGGTCATGATAGTACTTGCATACATGTAATATAACAAATTTGCTTTGTCAAACCCTTGATGCCTATGTTCAGCAGTGGACGTCCTGTGGCTGGTATGATGATGATTATGATGAAATCCTTAAAACGATAACATGTTGATAAAAATTGTTTTTGCATGTAATGCTTAGCTACAAAAATGGTTTAATCCCTTAACAGATGAGTATTTTTAATCAGATAAATTAATTTAATTAAGAAAAAAGGCCGGTGTTTGGGCCAGTGGGTCGTAAAGCGTTCCCTAATGAGGGATATTCCTGTTAGGGGTTACCCTTTTGGGTTGGGCGTATCCCATTATTGTCATAATTACGGATTGAAGCGAAAAAGGCAAGTTTACCTGATTAATTAATTAATTAAAGAGCTCTTTATAATTGCGTCTGTGGTTTTAGGGAAGGGGTGAATTTCGTTATTGAGTTTTGGTAAAATATTGCTTAACATCAAAGATGTTTTTATACATATGTATGGCAGGCTTTGCTGGCTCAACCAGATAAGTTTACTCTCAGAAAATGCCATTAAATCAGTATTTCGAACCCTCGACACGTTGCACTGTAGTCGGTTACCCAATCACTACACCAATATGAATGATGAAATCTAATTAGTCCGTCAGTTACGTAATAAAAGAATATTAGACACGTAATTTTTTATTTTGTCGTATATGAAAACAATACTTAGATAAAACGAATCAAAGTTTAGGTAGCTACGTCATTTTCTATATATATAAAAGAAAGTC